AACCCTTAACAAAAGTTTCTGACACCTGTACTCTCTATGGATTTGGCCGTAATGCATAATATATGCTTCCTATCTTCTTGGTTTGAAGAGTAATTCTGTTTATATGCTCCAATTATAAACCTTTTGAATGGAATTAGGCTCTAGAGTCATATTGGACATTTGTCATACTTTTACTCCTTAGCCCTAGCATTGATTTTTTTTTTTTTAATTAATGCTTTAATTGGTTCCTACATTGTTCTTATGGTCTATGGTTTTGTAGGTCTATATTATATTTGGAGGGGAACTTGGAGACCAAAATCTTTAGTGATCCACTAACTGGAATTGTTAGGCGAATAAGAGAGATAGCGATTCGTCAAGATGGTATAGATGCCACTCTCTTCTGTTTAGTGTTTTTTGTTGACCCAGGTTGCTTGAATTTTGTTCTCTAGTTTCCTTTTGACATTTGGTTTGATGTGATACATACTAGCTTTTCTCTGCTATTTTCATTTTGCACACTGTACAGCTCTTGAATATTCTGTAAGATGTTTATTCAGATTTCAAAATCCCAGGTTGGACTGGATGTAGCCTTGGCCAAGTGTAGTTCATGGGCCAATCTTAGGCAGTTAGGCCTTAGTTCAATCAATTAGGACCCGAATTGTAAAGTAGAAAAAGGTCTTGACTTTCTTAAATAATGAAGTGGATTGAACATGTGTCAAACCAACACTCTTTTTGTTATTTTCTTTTTTTTTTGTGGGATGAGGAATAGAAGCCAGTTTAGTCATAGAGAAGGGATAGCATCACAATAGAGAGTGAGCAGGACTTGGATGAAAAAGACGAGGGAGCAGACCCTGCTGACCAATATGAACTGCAAGGGGAGAAATGACCAACTACATATCTCCAATTTTCCATTCCATATTCTGCACTATTGGAAAAACCATCTGTCACCAAATTATTTAATCCAACATTCAGTGAAGCGGGTTTTATAGCCGGAGCCAATAGTAGTTGCCTAGCTGGTAGAGTGGCTTATAAATAACTACTCTTTATGCTTTAATAGTAAGCTTGCACGTGCTTTGTACGTGGTACCAGATGATGATAATGATAGTAATAATGAATCCAAAAATCTCTATAAATACGTATTTTTATTTTTTGTTTTTATATATTTTTTGCTTTTTATTATTAATCAGATACATATTGCAAAATCCAAATCTGATTACATAAACACCTATATATGATAATCGGATCGATTTGTGAAGTCTCAAGTATCTTTTATTTTCTGTTCATTTATAAAAAAATGTAAGATTTAAATAGAGGGAATTGAATGAGGTGAAAAGTAGTAGTTCAACTTGCAATTTAAACCTCACAATTAAATATATGCTAAATTCAAAAATGAGTATTTTAGTTAAGAGAAAGTTACAGAATCTTATTTATATTTTTAAAAGTAGTGTAAATATAGAATTATAGATGTGTTCAATTTTTTTTTTTCTATATTTTCTTAATATTTCTGTGTAAAAATAATTCCGATATGTCACGCTTACTTTTTGTTTAATATGATAATTGATTAATGTTATACATGTGCCTGAATGTTTTTTTGCAACATTTATGTATTTTTATATTTTATTAATTTTTATTTATTTACTTATGACATTAAATGTTAATACATTTGACCCAAATGTTGAACTATTTATCTTTTCCAAATAGTAAAATAATTTCATTTTTGGTCAGTTCTAAAGTATGCATTTCATTTTCATTATCAATAAAAATAATTTTTTTTGTTACACTTATTTTTTAATTTGATTAATAAAGGTATCATAAACGCATCCAGTTTTTTTTCTACACTTTTGTAAATTTCTATATTTATTTATATTTCAAAAATTTTATTACCTAACTATGACTTCATAGGTTTATCAATTTAATTCGAATGGTTGGATTGATTAACCATCACTTGGATAAATAATGTTTTTGTTTTTTAGCCAATTTTAAAATATATGCGTTTATATTGTTAAAAATATTGACATAGATCTAATTAGTAAATTTATTGGTGAAAAATAACTCAAATATAGGATTTAATAGAAAATGGGAGTTAATGCCTTTAAGTATAAGGCTTAATGAAAGGAGATTAAATGAGGTTGAATGTAATAACTGAAGTTACATATTCAACCCTTACATTAGAGATGTAATAAATAGACAAATATGGGCATTTTAGTAGCCATTAAAAGTTGGCATTAAATATGTAATAAAATGACTTTCATACCCTTTATCAAACAAAGAAATAGATGGCAATTTTGGTCCAAAAAACTTTCACTCTGCATCCACACTTTTATATATAGTATAGATATTTTTTTTTCTTTTGTTCATTTATCAGAAGAATGTAAGATTTAAATATAGAGAATTGAATGGCGTGAAAAGTAGTAGTTCAATTTACAATTTAAACCTTACAATTAAATGGGGATTAAATTCAAAAATGAGTATTTTATTCAATGTTTTAAAAATCAGACCAGATCGAATAGTTGAACTGTTTTGGCTGGGGAACTGGTCAGGTCACTAGTTTTGTTTTGGCTCTGAACCGCTATTTTACAAAAAAAAATTGTTGAAATGGTTAGAGAATTGCTGATCCAATTAGTTTAATCGTTAAAATGTTTGACCCAATTAACGGTTCTTGGGTTGCTTTGAAACTAATTCCAATTTTTTATTTATTTTAAAAATAGAAATTATAAAATAAAAAATGATAAAAGAAACTTTTATATATCAAAATCTTGCTCGATTATTCTCAATGGCTAAAATTAGTTAGGGTTTTTAGTTATTCCATTTTGATTTTGAGTTTTCTCATTCTTGTGATTCTTTTTAAGTTGAAACATAAAAATAATTGCAACTTCAGTGAAGAAATTGAAAAATTGATGCAAGAGATGAGAGATCAAACACTGATCTTATATTAAAATATAGGATACACCAATAAATCAAATGATCTGGGATTTAAGAGATATTTGAGAGATGAGAGAGATGTAAGAAGAGGGCAAGTAGTGTCGTGGTGATGGTTGAACCACTGACTAAGAAACTGGAAGCCAAAGCGTTCCGTTTTTGGGTCGGTTTTTAATAAAAGTGTAAATATAGAATTATAGATATGCTCAATTTTTTCTATATTTGTTTTATATTTGTGTAAAAATAATTCCGATATGTCACACATGCTTTTTGTTTAATATGATAATTAATTAATATTATAGATGTGCCTGAATTTTTTTTTGCAACATTTATGTATTTTTATTATTTATTTATGACATTAAATGTTAATACATTTGACCCAAAGGTTGAACTTTTGATATTTGCTAAATAGTAAAATGATTTCAATTTTGGTCAGTTCTAAAGTATGTATTTCATTTTCATTATCAATAAAAATAATTCTTTTTGTTACACATTTTTTTTAATTTGATTAATAAAATTATCATAAATGTGTGTTTTTTTTTACATTTTGTAATTTTCTATATTTATTTATATTTTAAAAATTTTATTATCTAACTATGACTTCATAGGTTTATCAATTTGATTCCAATGGCTGAATTGCTTAGCCATCACTTGGATAAAAAATGTTGTTGTTTTTATATTGTTAAAAATATTGAGATAGATTTAATTACTACCATTTATTGGTGAAAAATAACTTAAATATAGGATTTAATAAGAGAAAATGAGAGTTAATACTTTTAAGTATAAGACTTAATGAGGGGGGATTAAACAGGGTGGAAAGTAATAATTGAAATTATATTTTCAACCCTTACAATTAGAGATGGATTAACCGGTTCAATGCACAAATATGGCCATTATAGTAGCTATTAAAGCTATAATAAAATGACTTTTATACCCCTTCTCAAACAAAGAAATAGAGGGTAATTTTAGTCCAAAAAAGTTTCACACTACATTCACATTTTTATATATAGTACATATTAACTTTCACTGTGTTGTAATAGAACTGGACAAAGTTTTATGCGATGAAACTTACAAGTCTGACACTACTGAGTACCTTTTTTTTTTTTTTAATGAATACACTACCGAATACCTTGTACATTTTCAAGGGTTGTTATAATGATGGGTATGTTTTCTATATTTCTAATGTTTTCAAATTATTTTACTATTAAGATATTTTATTTTATGTATTCAATTTGACAGAAAATAATGTTCAAAGCTATTTTGTCATGACCATATTCAGACATAATAATGTCTTGATATTAACAGCAATAGGACTGTTACATGCAAGGAAGATCATTTATGATTGGTTTATGGGTCTGTACTGTTATAATGCTGCTTAGAAGCTATAGTAGCCATATAAAACCATTTTATAATTATCTAGTTGCGGTTATGGTTCAATTTACAAGTTATGAAATTTAGATTCCTTTTATCCTTCTTTGTTTTTCCATGAGAAAAAGTGTCTAATTTGGCTACATAACACATTAATTCATGGTTCGTGTGGGTTTTATGAAATAGGTAATTATGTTTAAAATCTTTGAACCAAGCAGCACTATATGGCTTTTAGACATCCACCAGCATTCTATTGCTTGTTATTATTTATTTAGGAGATCCTCACTAAAAATCAAATGCTTTTTTGTTTTATTTTTCCCCTTATTTTTGTACTTTAATTTTATTTAATTAATCATTTATCTATTTGGTTTTTGGACAACATATAATCACTAACCAAGATTCATTTCTAATAACAGGGAGAAAGAATATAAATAAGCATTATTTTTTTTAATTTTTGTTCATAATTAATAAAATTTTGAACACAAATGGGATTTTTGTTAGATTCTTGCTTTAGCAATAAGGAAAACTAACTGTTATTCTGTAGTTGCGTGGTGAACAAAGGAGGCATGCAAGTTAATTGAGGGTATAGTTTAATTTTGGAATTTACTTGTGAGTTCAATATGTTGCAGGTCGTTTTCTATTTCTCAGCAAGGATGGTGATGCCACGCAACCAACACAAAAAGAATTGAGAAGTGTTGGCTATTACTGAAAGGATATTTGGAGAATGAGGCAGTGGTTCAGACTTCAGAGATTGAAAATGACAATCGTTAAAGCTCAGAAATGAAGATGACAAACTAACAATTAGCAATACACTGAAAATGAAGGCATGAAACAATGCTTACATGCTTGCATTTGACTGGAAAAGTGTTAACATGAAGGATTAGATGAATTCATTGTTTAATTCCTTTAAGAGGTCTTCGTATTGTCTTTCTATAGCGTGCACTATTTTTACCTCATTGGAAATTGGGAAGAAAGAAGATACGATTTGGCTATGGCTCAAGTCTTGTCTTCCAAATTAAGTCATTGTGGGGAACCTCCTAATCCAAAACGAACATGCTTTTTAGACAAATTATTTTTGTATAATCACTTGTCTATCTCATTTTCTATATGATTTGGTTTGGCCGCAGTTCCAACTTCCAACATTCTGGGTGTCAAACTGTGCAAGTGACCAGAGCTCAACTACTAGAATTGCATTTAATAGAAAGATCATGTGTTTGTTCCTGTTACATTATATCAAGGATGATCTATCTCTTGATTAAGACCTGCCCATCGTTGCCCAAATCACAACCACAAAGCAAGATATAGAAGGTCACAAGATGCAAATTTGTATATGGGATATCAGCAATTGAACCAGAGCATCTCTAGTCTCTACCCCGGTTATTGACGTTTAAATGTGGTTAGGCGTTAATATATATATATATATATATATATATATTATCTTTTCGGTAACTCCAAGATGATAAGATTATTATATACTTGTATATAAGAAGTATCCTATTCATACTTTTTGAACCTTAGTCTCATTTCCAAATCAAATTTGGGCCTCAAGTATTCTGAATGGATCCAATCCATTAGCAGCATGATTTGTTTTGTTGTATCACTAACATACAACATGATTCTCATCATACATCTTAAACATCATGTAATTTCACACTCAGGTGGTTATATATATAAGGATCGTTCCTTTTTTTTGATTTTGAGAAGATGGGAAATTAGTTAATGGGATTTTGGTTCCCATTTGATCAAGATATTTATGTTTTTTTTAGATTTATGTGGGATATATGGAATATTTGTTTGTTTTTTCTGGTATCACGTCGGTAATTATTTGGATGAAACAAAATTATCCCTTTTAATAATAGCCTTTTATAGCTAAAAGCCTAAAACCTTCATTGTATTATTTACCTGAAAAATAAAACAACATAAATAAATGCATTTATTCCGATAAATAACTTCTCAAAGAGCAAATGGGGCCACAACTTAATGATATTTCAGTAGTTTATATGATATAAGATGATTTTGTAAGAAGAATAAGCAAACAAATTTACGTTTTTATTGTTTTTGGAGAGGATAGTAAAAGATTACGAGGGCTTGGAGGGATGTAGTCAAGAAGAAACATAAGAGGGGTTTTGGACTTTTGGTAAGGGCACATTTGTAAATCCGTGTTGCCCGGTTTGATTAGGAAGCTTCCACGTCTCGCTGACACGCAGAGAGCTAGGGTTTTACGATAAGAGCTGGTACAGCATGTAACTGCAATTTGAATGGGGTCGAATGCACTATGATTATGAATTCTTTAAGTCAGGTACCCCGTGCCGACTTGCACTCGTAAAGGTCGTAACAGAAGAGGAGGAGAAGACTAAGGACTGACCTAGGGTTGGTTTGATCGTGTGAGTTGAGAGTTGAGACTGGATAAGAACAACTTCAACACAGCTCCGACAAAAGGGTTGGGCCGGTTGGTGTTTCTTCCTCTTCCTCTTATCTGTAAGACAAAGCTGGGTTTTTCGTCCCCGCTCCCTTTCGTCTTCCTCTTTCTTTTTTGTTCTATAAAATGAGAATAGGGTAACTCTGTTCTTCCCTTCATATTCTTCCTCTGTTCTCTATGATCAAAACAGGGGCTTTGCTTGCCTTATCTTCTTTATTTTTCTAGTACGAAAAGCAGCATCCGGATTTCCTCGATAGTTGGGTAGAAGAAAGTTTGTTTTCTGATTGCAAAGTAAGCTAATTTACTTATTAATTCATGAATGTATTCGAAATGCTCCTGTGCATGTACTTTGCTTGTTAAAGTTCTGCATTGAACTAAAAAGTAAAAGTACCAACTTACTTTTACATTTCCATGGAACAAAATGACCTAGCAAAGGTCTGGACTTTCAGCAATATCAGTCTAGTAATATCGGATGTGCCTTATGCTCACAATATCCACTCAACTACTGGGTGTCGTAAAAGTTATGATAGGTGTTCTTGCTTTTGTAGAATTGTATCCACAATAGAATTTGCTTTTGTAGACTTGTATCTACAACAAGATGATCAACTTGTTTGCATGATGTTCTTGCCATGAAAACTTGAGGGGAATCGCCGGAGGTAACCGCCGATTTTTGAGGGTAATCAGTTTAAGAGGGGCCACCGCCCATTTAAGGGCGGCTGTCAAAATAACCTAGGGGAGAGGGTAGACAAGATGCGAGCAGTTCACACTTTCTGCAATGGCCAGCTCAAGGGAAGATCTCTGTTAAAGCGAACTCCAGATCCTTCTTTCTGGATCTGGATAGTGAAAGCACGACGGAGAGATCGGTCTTCCTACAATCTTGCCTGGTAGGAAGTTTCAATTGGAAAGGATTCGAGCTAGAGGGTATTCGAAAGTGGTCTTCAAGAGTCTGGAACTGCTCGCAGGGGGTCAATGTGAGATGTCTTGGCAGTGAGAGATGGGTGTTCTTCCTACCCTCAAAGGAAGAAGCTCGGAGAGTTCTAAATACGGGTTCGAGGTGTTTCAAAGGAGCCTTGCTACATCTTGAACCTTAGTTGGAATCGATGGGAGTTTTGTTTAGTGGAAGAAAGAAGAGGTTCCAGACCATTTTTGGGTTAGAGTATTTGGATTTCCTTTACATTTGTGGAGCAACGAAATTGGTAGGATCATTAGCGATCTCTGTGGTAGTTTTCTGGAAGTAGACGATTCAAAGAAGTATAGGGAGTCCTTTGAATGTATGCGGTTGAAGGTTCGTCGGGTGGGTTTACCCCCTCATTCGGCTAACATAGTGTAGGCGAAGTGATGTACACAGTCATGATTTGGTCGAAGATCAAATCAGAAAGAATGGTGGTTTTGACGAATTATAATGATGCTATTCCAATCGGCAAGGATTTCATCTCTCGAGTGTTAGCCAGTGTGTTGGCTGAAGGAGAGTTTTGGTCGGCAATGGAGACTACCGAGAAAGGAGGGTTGGTGATCTTCCCCAAAGCTCACTCCGACGACCACCTTGCGAGTCCACAATCTGTCAGAGGTCAGGAGGAAGAAGGTTGGAAGAAAGTGGAGAATAGGAAAAGAAGAAGATAACTGCCACAGAAAAAATCAATAAGATTTTTTTTCTTTAACAAAAAGAAAAAGAATCAAAAGATAAATTAGAAGAAAATACACATTTATTTATTTATTTTTTGGGGTGGGGTTTGGTGTTTCCAATATTCGTGATTTTGTTTTTGTAAACAAAAGCAGCTGCCTATCAATCAAAAAGGCAACTTCCACGGTTTTGTTTTTCCATTTCGCATCAGTCTTTATATTGGATTTACGAGATTCTCCGAGAATGTCAAACCATATAATAAATTTCCTTTTCATAGATATTAGAATAAGTTGTCATTTTGATCATTTCACTGAAATTTATGTTCTTATTTTCTTTTAGATTCTGGAACCTGATGGATTGTTCTTTATTTGTTCTGATTGTAGCATTGTTTTTATATGTTTAGAAAAACAATACTGTAGGGGCTCGAAAGCACAAATGCTTGTCCTTAGATCACTAGTCTACCAACTTAGCTACAAGACTGCGTTAGCAATTTGGCTACATTTTTTTTTTATGCCTTTTGTTGTTTACAGGTTATGATAATTGTGATTTTTTAATGCCTACAGCTTGAAACACCTTAAGGCCTATGCTTAGTCTCTGTAGACCTAACCACTTCACTTTCACCTTTAGCTCTTAAAACCTTGGGTACAACCATATTTTATTTATGCTTATGCATCAAACCTCATAGTGCCTTTAGCTACCATGTAGGAAAGAATATTTTTTGTGGTGTACCAATAAAAATGTATATTGTTGTGCCATATGTTTGTTTCTGTTGATTTTTAGCAAGTCCTTCAAGGAGCTCTGGAGACTGAACAGTTTCTTGATGAAAGCATCTGTTTTCCTTGTAATGCTATGCATTATTTTAGCTTGCTGTTCTAACATTTTATACATGTTATCATAGTATTGACTAATGCCTAGTTATCAGCATGCTTACAGTTCTTCTGGTTCATAATGTTTTAGATATGCAGTGGATCTGACCAGGATTGTTTCATTTCTTCTGCAGCAAAAATTATTTGGGTGTGTTAATCAGTTTGTGAAAGGGAGCTGAACAATGTCAAGTGGGCCTGGATTAGAGTCTCTTGTGGATCGTATGTGAACTCTCACTAATCTCTTCTATTTCTAGCTTAAACTCTTAACATTCATTTCATATCTGGTGGTAATGGGCTATCCATCAATAGAGGGATGAGTAGGATATTTGCACCCGATGTTTATATTTATGCCTGCCAAATCCAGATCAAATGTGGAAGAGGGGAGTTTTCCACTTTGCACCACTTTTTCAGATTTTGTTGTTTGGCTGCAAAATAGGGCTGAGTAGAACCCTAAAACAGTGGCTTGGTTTTCCCTGAAAAAGGTAAATTGTGTTTGTATTACTATATCAAAAGTGTAAAGCCATATACAATTCACCCATGTATAATAAGATGCTATACCATGGCAGCCAGACAATAGGCATCCACATAAGACATAATATCTTACATGATTTTATAGATATGGCATATACCATGTATAAGAAACAAATAACTAGGAATAGGGTACTTCCCTGAACTGTTTGTAGATGAAGGTCAAAGAGGACACCTTGCCAGCTAGTTTCAACCAAACAGTCTTCACAAAAAGGCATTGATGTTGAAAACCTTTGCATTTCTTTGTGGCTTAACTTCCTTGCATGCAACCCTTCAAAGGCTTCCTTGAAAGTTACTGGGAACCACCTTCTAGTGCCAATCATATTGAGGAAATGGGTCCATAGGGAGAGTTTTGTGCATCTCTTGCACCTCAAAATGTATGGACAGGTTTGATAAAAATATCTGCCCTGTCACGAGGTTGTCCATTGACAGACATTTGAAAGCTTTTTTTTTGGGGGGGGGGCATTTAGTCATTCAAAACCCACTGGTTTAAGGGGTGTGTGGTCCTTTTACATTTTGGTCCTCCAAATCCAAATAGAGAACAAAGGGTGGGAGAGAACCTAGAGTTTATGTAGATTAAGTTGAAGGAATGATGCTGTGGTTGCAAATGGTATATAAATGATTGGTTTTCATGTTTTATGAAGAAATAGACATGTGAAAATAGTGGGGGTTGAAGCTCAAAGAGTTTTTAGAGGGTCCAATTGGGATAGGATCTTAGAATATGTAATTGTTGAGGCCATTTGTAAGGAAGGTGGTGAGGGCAGCCATCTCTGAAATCTACAAGGCACCAGACCTGATAGGTTCACTTTGGTCTTATATCATGAATGTTGGGAGGTGATCCTTTGGGATCTGATGAATGCAGTTAAGGAATTTTATAGTAGAGGAGGATTATTTAAGGGATAAATCTGACACTGATTTCCTAGATCTCTAGGATTTGGGGTGCCTCATACCCAATCATTGCTGCTCAGTTATTTTGATGAGTAGGATCATTACCAATGTCTAATACCAAGGGAAGCATTGGAGATTGCAGTTTCCCAACTTTAAGGTACTTTTGTGAAGGAAAACGAATCTTAGTGTTAAGTTGACTGTTTTTATGTATTGTTGGTTCGAATGATAAGTGTACATGTTAGTTAGTATTGGGTTTTAAGCTGTTAGGTACTGGGCCTTTGTTATTGGGCCTAAGTCTGTTTAGTGTTTTAAGCAGTCTGGGTGTCCCATCACTAATCAGGGGCATTCCAGACATTTCATGTAACACTATATTGTAATCTACTATAAATAATAGTACTATCGATTGGGTTACTCAGTTCGACATTCTCAACACTTGTTTGCCTTCACCTCTCTTCTACTACTTCAGCTATAACCTTTCAGCAAACATGGTATCAGAGCATTGAGCGATCTTCTGGTTACAACCGACGCCAACTCTTCTCTCTTGCTTTCTTTCTCTCTCTCTTTTTTTTTTTTATCCTGGTTGCTGCGGAGAAACCCTAGGGTTGTCGTAGAAGAAAACAAGGTTCGAACTTAGGGTTTCCCTTGGTTGTAGGGCACAAGGGAAGTAAGACCCAGAAGTTGATGTCCTACTAGACTGCTTCTAGTAGTTAGTAGCCATTCGGCTACTAAGAGAGGTCTATAAAGGACAAACCTAGGTTGAGGACTGATTTCAGCAGTCCTAGTATTGGTCGTAGGGGTGAGCACTCTCTACAGTAGCAGAAGTCGAAGCTCAAGAGAAGTTTGCATAGTGCAGTGGTGGAGAGCTCTCAGTTTCAGGTCGGTTACTAGCTCACAGAATTCTTCTTGCTGCTGTAATTGGTCCACTTCAGAACTGTGACCACTTCGGCAAGTCTTAAACAGTGTTATCTACACAAAGTCTGCAACCAAGATGTCTTCAATATCCGGAGAGGTCTCTTCTAGGGATAACAGACCTGGTGGGAGGTCTTCAAATCTGGAGAACCCGAATCTGCACAGCTTGCAGATTACAA